CTGATCCGGAGCAGGACCGGACCATTAGGGACCGTTCAGCACACGGCGGATGCTGAAGAAACGCGTAGGCCAGACTGAGACAGGAAGTGTGTGGCGTTTTCTGTAAGGGGAGGAGCTTCCCTGAAGACAGAGGAGAGGTAGCCAATGGCCAGCCTCCCCGGGAGGCTGTGTCCCCGCCCCCTGGCATCACGGCTGCCGGTGCCACAGAGTAGTGTGCCGACTGTCCCAGCAGGAGTTACCAGTCCATGTCTCTCATTTACCTGCTGGTTTTATCCAAAACAACTACAGTACAGAGAAGGGTTATAATTTATGCTGTCTGGGATTTGACCCCACGACCTTTGTGTTGTTAGGGCAGCACTCAATTTGTTGAGCTACCTGAGCACAGTTTCCCCTTCCCTCCCTCTAGTTTCCTCATTTTTTTTGACTCCCTCGACGGTGTTTAATGGCCGCATGACCCACGGGGTGATGAATGGACATTCAGGCCCCTCAACGGCCTCCCCAGCCAGACACGGGTCAACGGATCGGAGCCCGATTTCCGCAGGAAATGTACAGGCTGCTTGCCACCCCCCCCCCCCCACACCCCAGGGCCAACAGAAGGAGATCGGAGTGAAAGGAAAAACATAACGGCTCACAGATTAACGCTGCATACCTGTGTCCATTTTAAAATATGCCTGTTTGGCACCGGCCAAATTTATGTTCTGAATAAAGTAAGACAGACAAACATAATGGTAGCTTCTATTGAGATAGACACACATAATGTCAGTTTATATGTTCAGGAAGTACATGCCTTAATTAATTAAACTTTAATATATCCCCTTTTTTCATTGTGGAAGTACCATTAGTAAGTAATTATGAGTAATCTGTTTTGGACAAGCATGAAAGATGAAACACAGTTACAAAGCATGTCTGTAATGTAGCGAAACAGTGAGGCTTGGCTCATTTTTAATAAAAGAGAAACAAGACATGGATAGATAGAAACTTCATTAATCCCGGTGGAAATCGCATATACTGAAGGAAATCTGGGAAAACACAGAGGGCTTTAATGCAGACGGAAAGGGAGAGATTGGGAACGTCGTCGATCCCATCGATCATTTACATTCTGATGGTTCTGACTCATTCTCTGTGTAGAATTCCAACTGATTCCCAGCTTGACCCTTTCATCCCCAGCGGCTCTCAGAGATACTGATTCAGGATATAGTGGGACTGTTGAGGTTAAGTACTTTGCTCAAGGTTACTACGAGAACTCGACCCAGGGTACCGAGTAGTCTGTCTCCGCTTAGACATCTCACCATTACATCCTGCACTTTATCCGCAGCGGGATTTATTTAAACGCTCCCAGCAGAGCTTGGAGCAAATTCCACTAATAGGGGGGACACCGATTCGTTCCTGAGGTGCCGCCGAGAATCGTTTGATTAACGGTAACTGAAACAAAAGAAAGACGGAGTAGGATTTGGGAGAACAGAAGACGCCAGCGACCTCTCGGTACAGGGCGATCTCTCGGTACAGGGCGACCTCTCGGTACAGGGCGAGCGTGTGACCCTTTGAGTTCACAGCTGGGCAGGTGTGGTATCAGTGCTGTTAAGTTAGGATGGTGTGTCCGTGATCAGAAGGTCGGCGGCTCAAATCCTAGAGTGGTTTTACCATTGGTCCCTTGAGCCCTTAACCCAGTTGTTCCAGGAACTGGCTGACCCTCCATTCTCAAGAAATGTAGATCACTTGGGATGACAGTATCTGCTAGATAACCATGCAGGCCACGCCTGTGGAAATGGGCCCTGGGGCAGTTAAACAGGATGGATGCTCCGCATTGTCACTGTCTCTGTGTTGGGGTGCAGCAGTAGACCCGTCGCTCGTCTCGCCGATTTGGCGCTCTCTCCTGGCCTGGTTTCTCCTTCCTCCCCCGTGTGGGACGTTCTCCGCCTGCCAAACTCCTCATTTCTGTTCCTGCCAGCCCGTTAATGATCCTCCGTCATGTCGCGCAAATAACACGAGCACCTTTGACGCTCACGTTTGCGTAGCTAAACCTAGTTGACGTGACAACGGGGAAGAATTGGCTCTCTGTCTTTATAGATTCCCGTAGCTCCTCCTTCCTCCGCACCTCCTGGGTTGAGGGTTCAAATTTTGCTCTCAAGTCTTTGTGTGCATGGAGAATCAATGTTTGAAATGCAGTTAAAGTGTACCGGAGTCTCCAAATTGCCTAAATTTGGAAATTTGCGGAATCCCATCCGAGAAGTCCCTTGCCCAGGTCACCCTGATATAGTCAGCAGGGGCTATGTTACAGAATCTTCCTAAGGTACGACCTTACAGATCCTAGCTTAACTGTTTGGTAACCATGGTAACTAGGGTTAGAACCTGATTTAGGGAAAAAAAAAACATTGGGCAAACAGTGCCTATGTCAATATTTCGATCCTGACGTAAGGCAGGAAACGTGTATTACACAAGCTTCCTAACTTCTGAAAATCTTAAATAAACTCTCCTAACTTTAGGATAACCGTTAAGCTGTGCTCACTTTCACTTTATCACTAAACTTATTTTATTCATGTGGCCTCTGTCTTTACCCAACCAACAAAATGTCAACAGGCGGAACCTATTCATTGAGAGGCCAATGGCAGACTAACGGTGCGTTGCGGTTTGATAACAAAACGCTCGTTAGTAGATACATGCTTCAACAGACTATCGTCCTGCAGTTAGCTGAGCAACTACGATTGTCTTTTGAGCGGCCGACCTGGCGCATTGGGGCCCTCCCGGTTGTGGTGCAACTGACAAATCCGCTTCAGGTGTTTGCTGAAGAAGATGTTCACAGTGAAGCGGATGTAAAACATGTCGGCCTGCTATGTCACGTAATTTAACGGAAATGGCGACGGTAATTAGTCATTTGGCTGCTCATTATATACAGTTTCTAAGAGGAGAAGAACCATAATCAATGAAACTTTCTATCACAACTATTAGATGCTTGGTGTAACTGGACTACTTTGTTATTAAAAATATATATATTATTATAATAGAAATTAAAAAGTCACGTCGGTTGCTAGGTAACAGATTCAAAAGTTGATGACCAAAGCTGGGTTGAGTATTTAGGATTTCATAACCTGAGATAAGAGGATTCCTAAAGTTAGTTAGGATTTGCTTCTGTAATACCAAATTGGGAGAATTCCTATCTTATATTTGGATATTTACAGGGAGCCTGCCCTGCATATGGAGTCATGGAAGTTTGAAAGTTTAGGTTTTGTTGGTAGTCTGACATTTACTACAGCACCAGATGCTGTCTGGAGCCATGCAGATCTTAGTAAGGATGTGTTTCCAACATTAGTTCAAGAAATAGATGTACAAAACAAAATTAACGCATATAGTTTAATGAATGCAATAAATTTGCCTTTTAGATTAAGGTTATTCTTGTGGCATCAGTCAAAGAGTTTCAAAGAACTGATACTTTGTGCTCTGTGATGCATTTGTGGGAACATTAAAAACATTAAAAAGCTCTCAGAAGTTGTTTTTAAAGATGATGAAGAGCTTTTGTTGCATCAGAACTTCTCTGGAGTTGAACATGAGTACCTTAATATTAAGGGCTTTCATGGCACTTTCTGAGAGTTTGTTTAAAGCTATGCACTTGCAGAAGTGGTTTCCCTTGTGACGTCCCCGTCACGGAGGTGACAGCTGTCAGCACAGACGCATAAACACGGCTCTGTCCTCTGGGGTGAAGGACGACCACTTGCGTTTCCTTTTTGACAAGATAACGCATTTACCCCAGTAATTGCAGCGCCGCATTTAAAAGGAAATGCCCCATTTTCAGCTCTCAGATTATCGTGCTGCTTTTCTGATCGGCACAAATGACTTCATTGAATGAGTGCGGTCGGCTTTCGGGGGAATGCAATGCGGTCATTAGCCTGTTTTTTAGGCTGCTGGAGCGTCAGGTTCGCCGGTTTCTCAGAGCAAAACACTCTTCAGTCCATCACTGATCTGTTATTCAAAACTAGGTGGAAAGTTCAGGTCCAGAAAGGACAAATCCAGACCAAGATTTTGTTGCAGCCAACCGGTTGAGTCCTCTGTGAATCTGTATGCTCAACTGGTTGGTTGCAACAAAAATTTGGTCTGGATTTATACTTTCTGGACCTGTACTTTTCACCTCTGGGGCGTGGATCATGTGGTTAGGCCGCTGTGCTTGTTACTCAAAGGTCGTTAGCTTGAATCCCATCCTTAGCAGGATAGTCACATCTTTGTTTGGCCCTTGAGCGAGGCCCTTAACCATCCAACATGTTCTAAAGCAGGGATGGGCAATCGTACCCGCAAAGGGCCGGTGTGTATGCAGGTTTTTTGGATAACCTTTAGCTCACCTGTTCAAACCCAGGTGTGAGGACTCTTCAGTCAATCAGTCCTCTAATTAGTAATCTAATTTGGGAGCTGTAGCGAAAACCTGCACACACAGCGGCCCTTTCTGTATAGCATGCCTACCTCTGTTCTAGAACCTTCTATTAAATGGTCTGAGCCTGTGCTTCGACCCCAGGCCTCATTTGTCTGTGTGTGTCTCAAAGGAGTGAAGGTGGCATATGTGAAAAGAAGCATTCCAATGTACCTGTGCAAGCAGAGCTTCACTTTATTGCCCACCTCACGTCTTTGTTTCTTTGTGTACCGTGAAGCCCGCTTAGCGCCCTTGCTAATGGCGATACGCTATAGCATTGTTTCACCATCGTGCTAACGTTGGTTCACTGTCATGCTAATACTGCTTCTACATCATGCTAATATTGCTTTGCCTGTCACGCTAATGTCACCGCCAAATTATGCTAACGTTGCTTCGGTATCACCCTAACTTTGCTTCAGCATCGCACTAACGTTGTTTCGGTGTCACCCTAACGTTGTTTCGGTATCACCCTAACTTTGCTTCGGCATCACGCTAACGTTTCTTCGGTATCATGCTAATGTCGTTTCGGTATCATGTTAATATCACTTCCACGCCATGCTAGCGTCAGTTTCGCTTTAAAGTACACTGTTGCTTCTCTGTCACCCAGCACTGAACGAGCCCACCATCGACTACGGCTTCCAGAGGCTGCAGAAGGTCATCCCACGGCACCCCGGAGACCCAGAGCGCTTGCCAAAGGTCTGTATTTTTCTTTGAGCTCCCGCAAGTTTTAAAGCAAAGTCACCCCAAGTCCGAGCCGCTCCCCCCTATCTCCCTGGGCTCCGGCACAGTGCCATTAAATCAGAATAAGTCTTTGGTCCATCCTGACAAGGCTACATAGAAACAGGGACTCAGAGAGATGAAAAGAAGAATAGCATTATTTTCTTTGGCTGTTGACTTTTATTTTTATTCATAAGCTAAATATAATACATATATGCACCAATCTCCCTGTCTTGGCTCTAGATTCAGAGCTTGTGTTGGGTACGTGTTTGTGTGGTCGTTATATACTTCTGTAAATGTCTAATAATGCTATATATATATATATATATACACACACACACACACACACATATATACTTTTATAGCCACCTTAAACGAACTTCCACAGATTTGGGGATTTCATATAGTGTTCAAAGCGGTACAGAACACAAACCGATAGCGAACACTAGGAATTCTGCTGACATTGTACAGTTGCAGCAAATACAGCGTGTACTCCTGTTTCATTTGAGTACTGCATAGTCCACGCGTTTCGGACAGCGGCAATTTTTCACCTTAGGCTACGAGCCATATTCTGTCATCAGTAATGAGAGCATCAGCGGGGTCTTTGTGTAGGAAAGTTGTATCTCGGAGTCCTCTGTCTACGTCGCGAGCCACGACCCTTCAGGAAGTGTGCGATATGAGCAACGGAGACGTCAAGCCAATGGAGACTGACAACGGACACCCAGACGCCGCACCTGCTGTTTATCTAGTTCGGTGAGGGGGCGGGTCGTTCCAACACGGTCCAGCGGGCTTCCCCGTGCCACCACAAGCGAGCCATTACTGGGAAATCTATCGTAACGATTGATAGCTGCCGGATAGGCCTGATATTGTTGGTGCGGGTGGTACCAGTTTTACCGAAAATGTCCACATTGCCAGAGGTGTCAGTAAAAACCCGCAAAATCCCCTGGGTCCTCCAGAAGAAACGAGTGACTTATTTTGTCAGTTGTTGACAGGTGTTGTTGACATGTACAGTAAAATCGACAGAAGAGACCCAGACCGCTGGCTGGGTGGAAAAGAGCCATGTCATAACTTAGTCATTTCAGACTTTACAAGACTGGTACTGACTGCCTAACCCCAGCCCTGCCCCCATTGCTGAAAATCCGTAGAGCTCAGCTGGCTTAGCTAGGTTACATTCCGCGCGCAGTTCAACACGCATCCTCATGGGGCGCTATCTTTGTTAAGTTCTAGATGAAGAACTTTGGAATAACTTAAGCTATGATTCCACGGAAAGGAAGTGATGTCAGAGGGAGAAGTCACATGGGCGGGGAGAACATTTTTCCAGGAATGGATAAGCCACATGGTGCGAAATACTCCCGGTTCTGACCGCGGTCCCGCTCGCCATCGGATCTCAGCGTGAGTGTCTGGCTCCGCTCAGCCTGCTGTCAGGGTCACACCCTGACTATGCCCTGCACCTCCTCCAGCCCGAGAACACCAGATCCGTCTCTTCCTCCACCCCCCCCTTCTCTGCCCTCCGCCGCTCTGTCAGGACCGCCGCCCCCCCCCTCGCTTGTACACTTTAGCCTCCGTGCCCGTACACAGGAGGAGCCGCTTGCTCTAATCTCGCCGTCGATGCTGGACCCAGACACCCGCGCCGTGAACCCCGCACTGCCAAATTTTACCACGTGGAAGGAGCAGGTTACGGCAAAGGGCAGGTGTGTGGAAATGGATAGGAGTCTTCTCTCCGCCGCCGATGAAAGCCATAGCGATGGGTGATGGTGACCGATGCCCCATGCAAGTGGAAGATAGTCACGATGTCCCAAACCCTGAATTGTGGCGTCTTTGTGCGGTCGTGTGTGTGTGTGACAGACCTCGTGGAGATGGGAATCCAACAAAGAGACAAAGCAAAGACACGACAGTTTCCAGCTCGCTCCTTCCTAAAGCCAAGCATCTTAAGTTGAGGGTTCGATTCAAAAGTTAAAATGACCTTTTCCCGACGTTTTCCTCTTTATTTGCTTTTTTTTTTGTCGAAACCACAAACACGGGAATATTCTTTTAAAAGAACTGGTCGTCTCTTAACCTCAGTTTATTCGAATTAATGATAAAATCTGAGATTTATGTGTGTACTAAATTTAACAAGCAGTTAGATAATATTAATATTGATATTGCCAGAATGTTTTGTTCTCTAGTCACTGGCTTGGGCGTTGATAAATCGGTCTCTCCTTTTGTGGGGGCCATTGGGAGGGGGTTGACTTGGTTAACAGCCCCCTCGGCCCCGCCCCGTTGCCCCGCCCCCCCCCGTCTCCCCTCCTCCCAGTAGAATTCCGGCGCTGAGCGTGGCCTGGTGATCCATCATTGTGATGTCATCCGTCCCAGGCTGCCTCCTCACAGGTCAGCTCAATCAGAGCCTCCGCCGGCTGGACTTTGTTACCGCGGTGACGGTGTCACAGGAAGGAGGGAGATGCGGGAATGGATGGAGACAAAGAGGCATTCAGTAAAACAAAATAAATCAGCTCTTTTCACTTTTAAAGAATTGCTGCAGGTTTATAAGTCTTTTCTTTGGCCTGTTTTTTTTTTACCCAGAAATCCTTGTTTTTTTGCTTTGTTACTGTTGGCTGTTCACTCATATCATCCTCTAAACAGCATAGTACTCTTGGCCTTTAATTAAATTATGTATGAAGTGCTGTAGTTTTTTATTGATATCTTTTTCAGATGAAACAAATCAGTCTATTATGATTTTTTTTTCTTTGCTAGCTTCTGATTTCAGGCCTGATTTCTTCTTCCTTGGTATTTTTTCAGTCTCTGGAAAAAAAAAACAGATGGGTATTTCTGCTAGGGGTAACGGATACTCGATGATAAAATTAGCTCATTTGGTGCATTTTTTTCCCCCCGGATCCCCTAAGCAGCATAAAAGCCTGTGTCCTTCCTCTGTCTCCGTCTGGACCGTGACGTGTCTGAACGCGGCCACCAGCACGTGGCAGGAGTGAGAGACGGGCCCCGAACAGACGGCATATTAATCCATGTGAGGGGATTATTTGATAGCGCGACCGTCATTGTTCAGTGAACATTCGCGCTACGGCTCTGCGGCTGAGCTCTTTGGCCGGGTTTTCCAAAGGACAATCTGTGGCCCCTTTTTGTTTCCCAATCCTAACCCCCCCCCACCCCCCAATTTCATTTTCTTTATTTATTTATATATTTTTTGCACCTGATTCCCTGTCTGGGCTGCCGGAGCCCCGCCGTGAGTTACGATATCTGGGAACAAAGGCAGCTCGAGGCACCAAACTGAGAGATTTGGCTCCGAGCGCTGAGCGTGGATTTCGGTGCAAAAAACTAGGATGTCCATTCATAAAATAAGAAGCATGGGAATCCAGCCAAACAACCAAAGGCTCTGTCGCACATCGGCGGTCCTCTGAACGAATTCGTTCTAACTGATAAAAGGTCGACCAATAGGTAGAGGTCTCAGGGGGTCAGAGAAACTTAAAGGATGTTGTTGGGCTGCGGGTGTTTTTTGGGGGAAAAACGTTGCAGGTGAAAGTCCCACAGTTGTTTCTGTCTAGTTGGGAGGCCGCACGTGTGCACTGCACACGCGCTCGTTTGGAAAGCGTGCCCCCCTTGAGTCCCTCACGTCTGCCCCTCGACAAGCCTCCGGCAAACTTTAAAGTGATTAATCGTTTTCTGAGAGGCCGATTAAGGCAGAAAGCGAGCTAAAGACCCGGAGATCGATCTCTGAGTATGCCGCGCATACGGCCGCGTTCCTGGGTGATACCGGGAGTTGTGGACAGAACGCCTGCTACTGTCCGTGAAATACAGCGTCCGGTGAAATATCGAGGAGATTGTTTTGCGGCTGTTCTGTTTGTTTGGACCAATATTTCGACCAATCAGATACAAGACTCAAAAACAGTTTGTCTGATTGCCCAATCAGGCCTTGAGGGACTGGGTTGTGTCAGCTTCCCCCTATAACTCAGTGTCACATTTAGCCAGGCATGCTTAGCTGCCTCCCAGCCGTACCCTACCTGCTGGTGGAAGGAGCGAGGTATCGAGTCACCTGAATCCGTGTTAACGGAACACAAGGCTGCCGGGCAAGGCTGCCCCTCTCAAGGACTCGCCAAGGTGTGCTAAAAACAGACTGGAAGCTTCCACCGGATTGCCGGCGGTACCTGGGTATCCAAGCTTCTATTGTTACCAAAACATGGATCCTGTTTGCTGTACATCTTGAGCAAGGTTCAGAAACCGCAGCCAGCGCCTTTGCGTACCTAGGCGACCCTATACGCGTAACATGGCTGCCAAATGGCATGTCGAGCTCGTGGGCGACCAAGCCGCTAATTTTTAGCGCGATCCGCCTGGCCATATTGTTCATCTCTAGAGGGGCAGGCGTAGTGACACAGCTGAGTGAGACAGGTGTATTCACAGAGGAGCGACGGCCTGCAGACCGCGGGCCCATCTGTCGCGGGTCTTGCCCTCCGCTGTGAGCGCCTCACTGTGGCCGATCCCGGCAGGGCACCCCTCCCTCCCACACCCCGGTGACGTTGTGCTCTGTGAACCTTTCTCCGTGTAGCGGGAGGGAGGGTTCAAAAAAGTGTGACATCATTCTTTCAGCCTCCCTTGGGCCACACGGTGCAAACCAACAGGAGCCTCAAACCACACCGAGAGCATTACAGTCAGGCCCGTAGCTAGAAATTCAAGACTCCCTGACAAAATGTCACCTTAGGCCCCCACTGCCCAATAAAATTCATAATTTTGCATATTCAAAAACAGATGGGTATTTCTTCTAGGGGTAATACTCGATGATAAAATTAGCTCACTTGGTGCACGTTGTTTTTTTTTTTTTTGCCCCGGATCCTCGAAGTGGCAGCGTCCTTCCTCAGTCTCCGTCTGGACCGTGACGCGTCTGAACACGGCCACCAGCACGTGGCAGGAGCAGGAGACGGGCCCCGAACAGACGGCTTATTAATCCACAACAAGAGAATCAATCAAGTTTAAAAAAAAAGAGCAGTACGATTTTATTGTAAGTCTATATTGAAGCATAGTGCGACCTCGTTTTGTTAAACATGATTGATTCTCTTATTGTGGTCCAGCACTCTGACATTTATAGTACTAGGAGTGAAGCCCGTTCCATGTTCAAGGGCCCCCGTAAAGTGTTGGGGCCCTAAAATCTACAGGGTTTCCTTGCCCCTGCAGCAGCCCTGCTTACTGCTGGATATGGGCCTCGCTGTCAGATCGGCGAATTCTTCTACATGGTGTGATGTAAATGTATACAGGGCACTGAAGACGTGTTACTGAGCGGGAAGACCGGGCAGAGGTCACGGCGAGGGGGTGTAGCACAAGGTGTTTAAATGGCGTGCGGGCGGGGCAGGGCGGGGGGGCGGCGACGGCGGTGTTTAACAGCACCGGGCCAGGCCCCCGGCAGAGGAAGCACTGCCGCTCCTAATGAAATCAAAGTCTGCAGTAAATGGAGTGGAGGGTCAGGGGGTGAGTGCGGGAAGGATGACATCACCATCTCTGCCTTTCCCGTCAGGATAATGACTCTCACCTCGGCCACATTATGTCTCTGACAGAGCATTAGGAGATGATGAAATTGCAGATGAACAAGTGTACGGGGTGGGGAAGTGTAATTGTGCACTGCTTTGTCCTGGGCCCACCCAGAGAAGCGTGACAGTATCCTCTCTGCTTTTGTGAAGTTTATACATTCTCGTGGTATCACTTGTCTAATACCACCAAGTCCTCGCAGTGTTTTGCGTTGAATGATTCAGCTTTTCTGATTCAGACTATGTTAATTCTGACTTGCATTTCAATCGCTTAGCAGATGCTTGTCCCAAAAGTGATGTACGATTCCTGGATTAGGGGTTAAGGGCCCTGCTCAAGGGCCCAATAGTGAAATCACTCTGCTGAGCCTGGGATTTGACCCAGTGACCTTTTGATCACAGGCACAGCACCCTAACCCACTACTGGTCACTCACTGGCAGCCCGGCCCAGGAGCCCCAGTCGTCTCCCTGTCAGCCATATGCTTACAATGTAATGTCTGCCGCACTTTGAAACGTCTCTTTGGACGGAAGCATCTGGTAGATAAATGAATGTAAACACGAGCCACGGCAGGTCGTCCTAAGGAGGCCTGCGTGGAAAATTTGGAATATAGAGAATAATCTACCAGATACAAGGGAAGTACGACATTGAGGAGGGAAATGATCACTTGATGATGTGAAAAAAAAAAAATGCACAAAGCATACATTTGCTGGCTGATGCATCTGGTTAGCAGGAAATAAGGGAAATTGTGAGGACAGAGATTAGAAAGAGGTAAACGTGTGGAGTTGGTGCCAGTTAATTAATGACGCTGGTGATCAGCGCATGAGCTGGTCTGGATCACGTTTCTTTCCTGTTTACCGATTGGCCCCTCTGGTTTACGGTAACCGTTCCTGCACTGAGGAAATGGGTTCCAGTTACAGACGTTGGGGGCACTGGACAATGTTAATGTCGTTATTTGTTTATTGGGG